TAGCTATCGCTGGACACAGAAGTCAACCATAATTTGTTGTCTTTTATGTCCGGATGTGATGTCGTCTTCTGGAGTGCTTTCAATCGATTTGAATGAGCCGTAAATGTATTTATAGTGCATTTGTTGCGGATGTCGTACAACTCAATGTCGTTGGACTCACCGCCGATGGCTATCACATCATTCTATACCAAAGACAACAATAAATCATATCTTAATCCAAAACATCTTAACCACAGATTCATAATCGCTTCGAGACTTACATTCAAAAACAAAATACAATTAACTCTTTTGCCGAAATCGATGGTATGGACGACACCGCCGATAGTGATGTCGTAGATATCGATGCGCTTATCGATGACCACCGCGAAGAATGTCGAGTCCGGTGCCCACTGGACCAGATGGGCCACTGCCTTGATGTTAGTCACGTAAGCGCACCGACCTTTGATGAGATTCCACGTCCTCAGCGTCTTATCCTTGGACACCGATAGCATCAACTTTCCCGATGGATGAACACTGAGACCAGTGATGGCGTCCTTATGCCCTCTGAGTGTCTTATCGCAGACCCAACTCCTTGTGTCCCAAACGCATACCGTTCCGTCTTCGGAGCCGCTGAACAGGTGTGTCGTCTTGAAGAACTCCAAGTGAGTGATGGTTCCCGAGTGGTGCTGAAGAGTGCCGCTATCTGAGCGCCGGTTCATGTTGTAGATGTGGATCACCTCATCGGTGCTGCCGCTGACCATCACCTTCGAGGTGGTCGACAGACACCTCACGCTTCCCGAGTGGGCTCTGTCCGCAAAGGTCTGCTCCAAGACATACGTGTCCTATAGGGTGAGTGCGATAAGCAGATGGTGTGAGTGGTTAGCCATCAGTGGTAGTGATGATAATCACGTGAAAATACGGATCAGGATTTGATACATACGTCTTGGCGTTTGAGTTGATATCCGATGAGATACTCTTCGTATGTGCCAACGATTACCTCCATATCTGCTATGGTATTGTGTGGACACAAGTGGTCTGATGGGTGGATGTGTTTGAGTGATGTCTTCAGTGGTGTTGTTGTGGTCTCGCCTGCAATGACTGACTCATGTGTTGTTGTATTGAATGCATTGCATATCACGTGAGACAGCATTGCATGCATTGGCGACACCTATGAGTGTGCCGTCAATAGTATGAGACTTGGCTTTCAAACGGCCCTTAC